TATCCGATGGCAAAAACGTATATGTCTGGGATATGCCCTAATAGCGGCCGCGACGGCCCCAGAGCCTCCCCAAATGGACCCCAGACGGTCCAAGAGGCCCCAAAGAGGTCCCCAAGACGGCTTGAAGAGAGCCTCACGCAACAGGAGAATTCCAAGACGGCCCAAGAGTCCCCAGAGGCCTCGATGGGGGCCACCGGAAGATCCCCACATGGTCGGATAGGGCCCCAAGAGGGCCCGAAGACGGGCTCAGCTCCCCATGACGAGCCAAGAGGGACCCGGGACGGCTGAAATAAGCCCGCAGGCGGGCCAACAAAGGCCCAAAAGGACTCCTTCGAGACGGCCCAAGAGGCCGCCGAGAAGGTCCCCCCAGGGCGGAAAACAAGCATTTCCCATTGAGAAACACATATTTCTGTGATATTCGTTTTTGTCCGTCCTCACAGCGGCCGCGTCGGCCCCACATGCTACCCAAATCGGCCCCAGAAGGCCCAAAGAGGCCCCAAAGAGGGCCCCAAGACGGCCTGAAGAGAACTTCGAGCAGCACAAGAGAGCTCCAAGACGGCCCAAGAGAGCCTCGAGGGGGGCCGAGGGGGGCACCAGAGGATCCCTACATGGTCGGAGGGGGCCTCAAGAGGGTCCCAAGATGGGCCCAGCTCCCCATCGCGGGCTTAGAGGAACCCAGGACGGCCAAAATGGCCCCCAAAACGGGCCAACAAAGGCCCCATCAAAGTGCTCCAAAGGAAGGCCCTGAGAGGCCCCAGAGACTCCCACAAAGCTTCCAACAGGCTCCCGGAGCGCGGCCCGGTAGGCCCCCTGGCTCGTACATCTCTGCAGCCGCGCTAGCCCGCGCATGATCGCGCGCGCAGCGGCCAGCTTGTTTGGCGCGACCGACGCAGCCGCGATGGCGCTGACCGCTTGGCACTTCCCAGCGGGCACTTCTTTGCGAGTCGGTGACACTGGCGGGCGCAGTATCATGGCAACGTCGGCAACGGTAGACACGATGATAATAATGGCGATGCTGGTGACGATGTTGACAGCGACGACGGCGCGGCCAGCGCGGGCGCCGATGCCGATCACGCCGACGACGATGACAGCGTCCTCGCGTCAGCGATGCAGGTTTGAAAGTTCGACCCGCGCGGCCGACCCGCGAGAGTGGCCCGCGTGGTATTCTTTGGGGCGGACCGCGCCTCCCCCCTCCCCCTTCCCAGGACGCGCGCAAGGGCGCGCGAGCGATTTCGGCATGCGGCGCCACGGTCCCGTTTGGAAGAATTCCATGACAACGTGGAAACCACTTATGGTTTGTTGGTTGAACCCGCAAGGGCTCGGGCGCGCGCTTTTTTTCAGAAACGGATGTTGCGAACCCATGTGTTTTTTATGTGTTTGTTTGGGCACTCGGTCATGCAATCGCTGCGAGGTCGAAGGCTTTGACTGATTTTGGCACGCGCGCGCGACGACGCGCGCGCATGTAATTCGTTTCGCTTCAGTTGCGCAGGATTCTCGCGACGGCACGCGCGCAAGGGCGTTCGAACGATTTCGACGCCCGCGCGTGCGAAAGCGTTTTTTGTTTCTTGAAGTGATGAACTTGCATGCCCCCCCCCCCCCAAAAAAAAAAACACGAACGCGCGCACAATTTTTGTATACAAGATGGAAATCCGCGTTGCGAAATCATGTATTATATGTGTTTGGGCACTCGATAATGAAGTCCTTACGACACCGAGGGTCGTCCAAGGATTCAGGCACGCGCGCGCGACTACGCGCGCGCGTGCACTTCGCTTCTTTTGTTGCAAAGGAGTTTTGGAAACAGCTGGTTTTTGATAAACGAGTGCGCGCGCACAGAATTGTCTGCAGATGATGGCAATTGGGGGCCGCTACCGGCCGGGTTGGGGAAACACGAGGTCATATTTAGGATGGACGATGGGGCAGGATCGTATGTAAATCGCAATACGAGAAAAGGGGCGGATCATCCCGGGGGGGGTGCGGGCAGAGTCTTTTTGTTTTATAAAAAATGATGACCGTGCACCGCGCTTGGCCCCCCTCACTTCTAGCGCAATCGCTTCACTTTCCCACCCGCAACTTGGTTTGCAAAACGCATGCGGTGGCGATTGCGATGAGTGCTTGACGTTGGCTTGTCCATTTCTGCTGCCGCGCCAACCCAAACACGCACGCGCACAAGGCCAGCTTGTTTGGCGCGACCGGCGCAGCCGCGATGGCGGTGATCGCTGGGCACATCCCAGCGGGCACTTCTCTGCGAGTCGGCGACTTGGGCGGGCGCGGCATCATGGCAAGGTTAAAAACGGTAGACACCGCGATGGTCGTATCGATGTTAGTGACGATGTTGACAACGACGACGCGGCCAGCGCGGGCGCCGATGCTGCTCGCGACGACTACGATGACGGCGTACTCGCGTCGGCGATGCAGGTTCCGGAAAAAGTTTGACACGCGCGCGCGGCCAACGCGCGAGGGTGGCCCGCGTGGTATTTTTTGACGCGCATCGCGCCCCCCCCACCCCCAGTACGCTCGCAAAGGCGTGCGAATGATGTCGGCATGCGGCGCCGGAGGCCCGCTTGGCAGAGTTTCGCGAACATGTTGTGAAACCCGCATGGATTTCTTGCTTGGCGTTTCGAAACCATGTTTTTTTTCCGTTGTGCGGAGGGCTGGTTATGAGATCGCTACGAAACAGAAAGCTCTTGATGGATTTCTGCATGCGCGCGCGACGACGTGCGCGCGTGCACTTCGTGTCGTTTGTTGCAGCGGATTCTCGCGACGGCCCGCGCGCAAGGGCGTTCGAATGATTTCGACGTGCGCGCGCGAAGCCTGTTTGGTAGCACTTTTCCAAATGTTGAGAACCCGTCGGGTCCCTTAATGATTGACCAAAACGCGCAACATGTGTGTTGAATATCCGTGTTGCGAAACCCTTCTTGCTATATATGTTGATGGGTCACTCGATTTTGGACCTTACGGAACCCAACAAATCGCTTCAAACATTCCAGCATGTGCGCGCGACGACGCGCGCGTGTGCACTCCGCCCCATACTGTTGCAGGGGACGTTTGGACATAGATGATTTGTAATAGCTGAGTGCGCGCGCATAATATTGTTTACAGGGGATGGCGATGGGGGCCGAATACCAGCCAGGCTGGGATGGTACGATTTCATATTTAGGACGGGCGACGTGGCATCATCATATGTAACTATCACTACGAAAAGGTGGGCGGATAATTCCGGGGGCGGGGTGGAGTCTATTTTCGTTTAGAAACGAGAATCAAGGATAAGTTATGTGGCGCAAGTCGAGCCGGCGATGGGGCAACGACGGCGAGCACGGAATCGCCAAACGGGCATCCAGGCCCACACGATGGGCGGCGACGAGGCGGCGACGGTGCGGCGACGGCGAGCACGGAACCGCCAGACCGGATCGCCGCCCAGGCCCAAACAATAGGAGGCGACGATGCGGCGTCGAGGCGACGACGGCGAGCACGGAGCCCCAGACCGCCACCTAGGCCCAGACGACGGGCGGCGACTAGGCGGCGACGGGGCGGCGACGGCCAGCGCACAGAGCCGCCAGACGGCTACCCAGGCCCACCTTTTTCGAACAGAAATAAGAACCCCTAAGTGCAAACACTGTTTCGGGAAAATGGCCTCAGGTTCGTTTTTACCTAAATTCCGGAAAGTTGGCCCAAAGTTGGCCCCGATGTTTTGAATGCTCTTCTGGTTGATTGCACATTCGGCTGTACATTTTCAATGTGTATATACGCGTTCTCTTGTACAGGGTGTCTAGAGCCCCGACTACTTTATTTTGGCGTCGCACCGCCCCCCCGCCCCTCCACCCACCCACGCCAACCACCACCACCACCACCACCAGCGTGACACCGCCCCCCGTTCAGTGCTCTCCACCCAGCCTCCCTCCGCACCCAACACTTTACACACCAACCACGACCACCACCAGCGTGACACCGCCCCCCGTCCACTAACAACCTGTCCACCCCGCCCCTCTCTGCCGCGATCACTTTAGTTATGCACCAACCGCCCACACCACCAGCGTGGCACCGCTCCCCGTCCAGTGCCCTCTCCACCCCGCCCCCCCCCCACCCCGACCACTTTATTTCGACGCCGCACCGCCCCCACCGTCCCGCCTCCCCGACCCGTGCCCCCTCCCCAGCTTCTCAGTACCCCCTGTACCCCGCCCCCCCCCCCCGCCCGCACCCACCGCCCCCGCCCCTCCCGCCCTTCCACCCACCCACCCACACCAACCACCATCACCACCAGCGTGACCACCTCCGCCTCGATCACTTCATTTCGGCGTCGCACCGCGCCCAGTGCCCCCCTCCGCCCCGACCATTTTGTTTCGCGTCGCACGGTCCCCCAGCCGTCCCGCCCCCCCGACCCTTCTCCGATTTCTCGTCCTCTCTCTCCTCCCTCTCCTCCTCCTCCTTCTCCTCCTCCTCCTTCCCCCTCCTCCTCCTCATTCCCCCTCCGTTTTGCGCAAGATCCATGGCACGCGTGCCACTTCTATGTGTATTGAAACACATAACGAGGGACCCGGGTGCCACGACCACTACCACAAATGAGGGTCCCGGGGCCTGGCCAGCTCCTCGGAGGCCCCATGTCCACAGCGCTCAGACCGTCGTCAAGGCGGCTCAAGGCGGCCCCATGTCGCCCACAAGACGCCTTCCAAGAGTCGTGGACGGCTAACGAGGAGTGTCGACCGGCGCCAGAAGTTTCAAAGACGCCCGAACAGCGCTCCAAGACGACACCCAAGAGAGCCCAACATTTTCCTATTCCACTCTGAAAATGTATAGTTTTAGCATGTTCGCTTCTGGGGCCTTCGCAGCAACAAAGAGCTGCCCAAGAGGCCCCCTGGACCGCCCCAAGACGGCCCAAGAAGCCCCAAGAAGGACCCAAGATGGCCCAAGAGGTTCCAAAGACGGCCCAGGAGGCGCCCAAGGCGGCCCACACGGGCCCCCAAAGGGCCCGAAGAGGGACCGAAGATGGGGATTTCGAGCCGCGTAGCCATTTTGGATCAAGCGTGGCTGCTTGAGCTTGAACATCCAGAATCTTGGGCTCGAGGGATGGTTGCCAACACCTGCGCAGTGGAGCGAGTCGGGATCTGGGCAGTGGCGAACGCAAGTCCAACAGAGGTCACCCTTCTCCTCTCGAACCTGGCGGCGGAGTGCTCCAAGAGCCAGTTGACGAAGTGGATGGATTCCCATGGCTGTATGGAGGGGTGCGACTACCTGTTCGTCCCCAGGAACTTCCAGACCGGTGTATGCCTCGGGTGTGCGTTCGCCAATTTTAAGTTATATTTTGGTTCCTGGCTCTTTGGGTGGTTTCCGGCGTGATCAATACTCCATCTTCGTCATCAAGTGATTCGGAGGGAACAGCCATCTCGGCCTGGCGCTGTGTATTGAAAGCAGATGTTCGTCAGTTCAGACGACCTGTAGTATCAGAGGCACTGTTTGTGGCCCTGCTGTTCTTAATTGCGAGCGACTATTGGTCATATGCGGTCAGGAAGCCCCTGATCTTTGTCATGTTATGCGTTCGCCAATTTCGTCGACCCCGCGAGAGCCGATCGGCTCGTGAAGTCGGCCCGCGACACCGCCATGAGGGTGGTGGTCTCCACGGACCAGGGCCTGGTGGCCAACCTCGTCGAGTGGGCCAGCGGCCGGGCCAGTCACGTCTGTCACCCCGAGAACCTGCCTTTTGTCCGTTCTCGCGATGCACTGGGCATCGAAGGCTTGCCAGCCTTGGCCTGGCTAGCCTTCGTCAAAACGGAGCTCCGGGAAATTGCTCTTGTTCTTCCGGGAAGCAGCCTGTTTACTATTTCGTGCGTTGAGTTTTATTTTCGGAACGTATTGCTTTCTTCTGGGAAGACCGTTTTCGCAGCCACAGATTTGCCAGCCTTCGCCCAGCTTCCGACCAGAATGCATGTTTTGTGATCCACCCATAGTCCGAGCGGCCCTGGCACGACGCGGACGCGTGCTGCCGTTCATGGGGCGGGAGGCCCTGCCGTGTAGCCTCGAGCCGGCCGCAGCGCTTGTGGCTTGCTTGGCCCCAGTCCTGAACTTTTGAGGCCGCTCGCGCAGATTTGTGAGCGCTTTTTATTTATTCATTCTTTGACCGATCGGCGCGGGCCCCCCCCCCATGAAATAGATCTTGGCTGTTTTTGGGCGCCTGTTTCGAGCAGGTGGAGTCTGCCCCACAATGAAGGCACGGTTCCAAACAGTCGCACTAAGCAGAGGTCTGGAGCCAGACCCCCCCCCTTGTCCGCCCAATGTCGAAATGCCGAATGGAAAAAACGCTCACTTTTCTCAGGGCGACGCTGCAGCCTCGCATTACAAACGTTCTTCCCCCCCTGCCACGAGCATTAATCATATTGCCGACTGCTGGCAGCAGGGGACTCACTTCGGTTTGTGGTTCTTGCCCGAGTGATGTCTGGCTTGCAACAAGCCGCGAGCTTCGGTGAGGGCGACCACAAGCTACGTCGGGAGGAGGTCACAGACGCGGTCATGGGTCAACTCAAACCAGGCATTATGTTTTGTAGAAAAAACAAAGGGGAGAGGCGTCTGGATGAGCTTGTTACAGAGTTTCTGGGACCTTGTTCATGATCGTGCAGGTTTGGGTCCAGGGCACGTCTTCGGGATATTCCGAATAGTAGCCCGCGCGCGTCCTGGCGCAATGCACCATCGCGTATTACATATATACACATGTACATACACATGTACATATACATATACATATATATATATATATATATATATATACACATATACATATACATATGCATATACATATACATACACATATACATATACACATACATAAACATATACATATACATTTGCATATATCTATATATACATTTACGTACATACATACATACAGTGCCGTTTTTAAAATACATGCTCAGCGTGCGGATCATGTGTTAAAGCATGCAGGGAGTGATCATAAAAACAACGATGAGCTCATGCATACATGCAATCAGGAACAAATCATGCACTAGAAAACCAATATTTTAAACAACCTATGTATTACACACTGCCATGAACATGCATACATACATATATGCATACACATACACACATACACACATACACACATACACCCATACACACATACACACATACACACATACACACATACACATACATACATACAGACAGACAGACAGACAGACAGACAGACAGACAGACAGACAGACAGACAGACAGACAGACAGACAGACATACATACATACGTACATACATACACACATACACAAATACACACATACTCGCATACACGCATACACACATACACGTACACGTACACGTACACGTACACATACACATACACATACACATAAACATACACATACACATACACATACACATATACATACATGCATGCATACATACATCCGTGCCCCGCCGCATGCCGCCGCGCGCGGCCATGCGCCGACGCGGCCCCTGAAAGGCTGACCCCGTTTCCTCCGTGCGCCCGCCCCCTCCCTCGCTCTCCTTCGCCCTCCTCCAGAAGAGAGGGGGAGGGGGGGGGATGGCGGGGAGGGGGGCGGGGAGGGGTACAACGAGGAAGAGGAGGAGGAGGAGGAGGAGGAGGAGGAGGAGGAGGAGGAGGAGGAGGAGGAGGGGGGGGGGGAGGGGTACAACGAGGAGGAGGAGGAGGAGGAGGAGGAGGAGGAGGAGGAGGAGGAGGAGGGGGAGGGGCAGGGGGAGGGGGAGGGGGAGGAGAGGAGGAGCATGGGGGAGGAGGAGCAGGAGGACGAGAAGGAGGATGCGAAAACGACGTCGAGCAAGAGCGGGAATGAGTGAGATGGAAAGGGTCAGATGCGGAAGCAGGAGCAGGATGAAGTGGATGAGTCAGAGGGAGGACCAGGGCTATGAGGAGAGGAGGGGCGCCAGGGACGGGGAGGAGGAGGAGGAGGAGGAGGAGGAGGAGGAGGAGGAGGAGGAGGCGGCGGGGGCTCCAGTCCGCATCCTCGAGGGCCACTGCGCCGCTGGGCGTATCGGTCCAGTGGGCACATGTGCTCAGACGCCCCGTTGGCCGCGGGGAGCTGTCCGCGTGGGCTCGCTTGCCCGATCGCCACATTTGGGCCCTGCCCAGTCTGAGCCAATCTAGCTCAGCCATGCCTAATGGGCGCAGCCCGCCAAAGTCCACTTCAATCGAGTCTGGCCCAGTCCGGGCCACAGCTGGCCGAGCCTAGACGATGTCATTTTCTCGTGGCGTCATCTTCGAAGGCGCATGCGCGGGCCCGGTTTTGAGGCAATTTCGCCAGCGCCTTTGGAGAGGCATGCGGGCCTGGCGAACCGCGCAGTGACCGGTTTGTGCTTCCAGTTTGCGGCAGGGGTTTCGTTTCCGAGCGGGGCGTGCCGACGCAACCCAGTCAGCATGCTTTTGTGTCTTTGTCCCCTCCCCCCCTTCGGTGCGTTTCCGATGCGCCGCACGGGCCCCGCGCCTGGCGCTGCGCGGCGCCGAGCGGGGCCCCTCGCGCATGGTGCGTTTCCGCGCAGGAGCTCTCCAGAGGGCGCGGCACGGCGCCGAACGGCGCCCCTCGCTCACTGTGCGCGCTCTTCGCGAGCCCCCGGGGATGGTGCCGCGCGGCGTCGCGCGGCGCCCTTGGCGCACTGCGCCCTTCCGTGCAAGAGCCCCCCGAGGGGGCGCCAGAGGGCGCGGCGCGGCGCCCCTGGCGCGCTGCAGGCGTGCTCCCACGCAGGAGCCACCCGACGGCGCCACGCGGCGTCGCGCGGTCCCCACCGTGCACGGCGCCGTCCGCGCAGGAGCCCCATGGAGGCGCCGCGCGGTGCCGCGCGGCGCCCCTCGCGCGCCGTGTTCGCACGCGCGCGAGCCCTCGGAGGGCGCCGCGAGGCGCCGCGCGGCGCTCCTCCCGCGTGGCGTGTCCCTGCTCACGCTGGCCGGAGCGCGCGCGGGCGCACGCGCGTGCCGGGGGTGGCCCGAGTCACTCGCTGACCCCGCTCCCGCCCCTCTTCAGGAGGGGAAAAAACACACAGACACAATTATTCGTCGATTCCCAGAAAATATGGGAAAATATGGGAAGTGAGGGGGAAGACAGAAGCCCAGAAAATATGAGAAAATATGGGGAATCCTTTTATTTGTGTGTATTTATTTGTGTGTCCCAGTTCCCCTTCACCTCTCCCCCACCATTTACATTCCATATGTGCGGCTCAACTTCGGTAATTCACACTCACTCAATTCCACGACGGCTGGCGGCGCTGTTCGTGCTGACGTCGCGCACCACTCGGATCCGGCTTGCGCGTCGCAGCAGCATTCCTGGCAGGGTGTCACGACACAGAACATAGATTTGAAAACGTTCGCGGACCAATTCACATAATCATTGTTTTCTGGACACGATTCCAGTGGCCCTGCTGCCTGGTCTGTGCTGACCAGTGTGCGCGTGTTGGGGAAGCGGAGGGGGATGAGGAGGATGATAACATCGAGGATGGTGGGGGAGGTGGATGGATTTCAAGAATGCTCTCCCTGGCGCAAGGCAGGGGCTCCAGCGCCGAGCTAACAAGACAACGCATGGGCCTCCGAAGGTTTATGTTTCTGCAGTTTCTCTTCTTCTGCACATGGGACCCGAGTAGGTGCAATCGGAGCAATCGCGCCGCATCGCTGATGCGTTGGCGATGCGTCGTAATGCAGCGGGCGGTGTTTGTGCGCTTGCGTCGCCGAAACACCGCTGACGTCACCGATGCATTTGCAATGCGGCGCGATCAGCCAAGCCCATTATATCCGGACCCCAGTTAAGAGGCTCGTCAGCAGACGGGATGCCTGGGAAGGGTTGTCCACGATTCGAGCAGGCCGATGGTGTGTGCCGATGTTTTTGGTGTAGTATCAGTCGGTTCGATGGCGCACTTCATGGTGCAATTCCCAACGATTTCCCTCTGGAGGGGGGTCCACCCCGATCGGTCGAATTTGCGAGCCTAGATCGATTCGTTTGAAGACAATTCTTTTGTCCACCCAAGGGTGACACATGTTATCCCCCTGCCCCCCCCCTGTTAACGGTAACGCCCCGGCCTGGTGTAGTGCGCGATCGCAGGCAGCCTAGGGTTTGTGGTGCACGCGGGCACTACTGGCGCCGCGGTGCACGCGGGCGTGCGTTATGGCGTACGCAGGCACTGCGGTGTACACTGGCGTTGTGGTGCACACAACTGTCGTTGCAGCAGCAGCTGTGGTGTTCACAGGCATAGTGGGTGTACGCAAGCATTGTGGTGTACACATACAAGCCGTGGTGTGAACACAGGTGCCGTGATGTACACAATCGCTGTAGTGCGCAAAGTCGCTATGATGTACACGTGCATTGTGGGCTATGGTGTACCCACGCATCTCTTCAAACTTCTGCCTCCTCTCCCTCGTCGGTTTCGTCCTCCTCGTCGTCGTCCTCTTTGCGCATACAGGACGCAGGCATTGTGGTGTACACAAGCATTGTGGTGCACACAGGCGTCGTGTTTCACATTCGCTGTGGGCATGTTCGATGTGGCCAGAAGAACCATTAATCACTATCAGATCGCCGATTGATTATGATAAATTCGTGCCCCCAACGATTCCCCGGACTTTGGTTCCGTCGAGGCCGTAGAGGTGTACACAAGTTTTATCGTAAACGCAAGCGTTCTGGTGCACACGGGGGGCGGTGCTGAAACAGCAGCTGTGGCGTCAATAATCACAGGCTTTGCGGTGCAGACGGCTATTGTGGTGTACGCAGGCAAGCGAGCAAATGACAAAACACAACATGTGCCAGGCAGCGTATGCTATATTAGATAATGGCGTGCACCTTGAGAGGGCCAGACAGACGTCCAAGAGGGCGCCAAGATGGCCCGAGAGCATTCCAGAAGAACCCAACACCGCACAAGAGCGTGTCAACATCGGTCCAACATTGCTTAAAGATAGCTCGAGAGGGCTTCAAGACGGCCAATCTGCCCCCAAAAGGACTCCGACGAGGCATTCAGGAGGCGAAACAAAGTGTTTGTTCGATGGTATTTGAAGATTTTTAGTGTTCTCGCTGGTTCGCGCTTCCGACGGTCCAAGACAGCCCACGAGGCTCCAGAAATCAGCTCAAGACAGCCCAAGAGGCACCGAAAGAGGGCGCCACAACGGCGCAAGAGGGCCCCAAGACGGCCCAAGAGTGCCCCAAGACGGCCCAAGAGTCGCCCAAGAGTGCCCCAGAGGGCCCCAAGACGGCCTCAAGAGAGGCCCAAGAGGGGGAACACGATCTGGCAGTTCGAGCTTTCCGCCCCAAGA